TGTACTCTTATTATTAAAACGACACGAAAACAGTTTAGTAAATTAAATAAATTTTAGAAATTCGGAAAACTTCCAGGGGAGGAATAGTTTATCATAATTTTAAGAAAAGTTGGGTGAAAGGTGGCGGAAAAGAGAGAAAGTTTGGGGTTAATGGTATCTCTCCGCCGTGTGTGCATACGTAGGTCACTCGCCATTCCTTCTCTGTTTGCTGCCATCCATAACTTATGCAATTTCCCAACTTTTATCTCACCTCCACCTCGGCTGAGTCGAATGGAATTTGGCGATAAAGCGGAAACTTGGTTCTTTCTTATGCAAAACGTGAACCTTTCTGCCGTGTTCTTCTCCCAATTAAGGCGGAACAATGGGGCAAATCTGCTCCAAAAATCTGGCTCCTTTTAACCCTTTAAACGACTCTAATGCCCATCGGATTAGCAAAGTTAGCTCGCTTTCTCCTCTCCAGTGTTTCGGGTGAAAGTAAAAAAACACTTGCAAGAAATAACGGGGAGAAAGTGGTTTCTTGCAGCTACATATTTTGACCTGCAAGAAATGCAAGGCGCAAGAAACTAGGTACTTCCCGCTGTTATAGTTAATACGGCGCGTGGGCTATTGTTCAGCTAATATTAATAGTCTGAAAAAAATCTGAAAGGTTTCCTGGCAGATATTTCATAATATTTTCAAAAAACCAAATAACCTCTCAGAAAATTTTCCTAGGGATTGAGACTATTGAGAATATTTGCTGAACAGTAGATGGCGCATATTTCTTGCACTTTCTCACAGTTTCATGCACCTCGCATTTCTTCCATTTCATGCACCTCGCATTTCTTCCATTTCATGCTTTGCAGTTCAAGAAACCTAACAAACCCGCAAGAAACGAAACACTCCTATTTTCCTGGCGAGACGGTGAATTAGAAAATATGCTTTTGTCCTTAATTTAGATACAGCACGTGGTTGTGTGTGTCTCTCTCTCACATGTAAATAAGTACGACCGTACGTATGTCCTCTGGCTGATGAGGCAGCGTGGCGAGAGTAATCTGTGAGAGGACGTCGAGTGGGAGAAAGTGTAAAAGGTTGAAGTATGAATTTATCTGAATTATTCATACCGTTGATGAAAACGTGAAAGCAAAGTGGAAAACTTCACTTTTGACTGGGGACTGTTGTTGGGCACGTTTTCATACCATTTTCTCCTCCTCCTGAAACATACGTATTGCAGTCGGAGAGAAATAGTGTAAAATAAAATATGTTTCTCTTCTGTAGCATCCTTAAATTTTACATATTTATAAAGCCCTACTTTTCTGAAATGTGAGAAGCTACCGCGTAAATAAATACATACATAATTCGTGTGATGAATGAGACTGAAATTTGAAATAGACCCATCTCTAAACTTATTTTAGTCGTGTAACACGACTAAATTTTCATTTATTTCATTCATAAAAAGGTCGTAAAAAATTTAGCATGAGAACTGTCTAAATGGAATCATGTTCACAATAATATAGTGTTCACTCAACTTCCTTATTTCACTAATTTACCATTTTCTAATTTATGCAGGGAAATGTTAAAATAAAATATGTTTCTCTTTTCGGTTTTAGTATAGCATCCTTAAATTTTTACATAGTTATAAAACCCTAGTTTTCTGTAATGTGAGAAGCCACCACGTATGTAAATAAATGCATATATGTAACGTAATTTGTAATGAGATAAATGAGACCGAAATTTGAAATCGGTTCATCTCTAAAATTATTTTAGCCATGTTTCACGTATAAATTTTCATTCACAATCATATTCAAAGTCGTGAGAACTAGAAAATAGCCGTTTCCACTCGACTTACTTTTTTAATTCACTAATTTTGTCACGACATGACTAAAATGAATGGAACTTGAGCCAGTCGAATTTAGGATGACGAGGCACATTGAGAATTTTCATGACACTTTAAACCATTTAATCTCCACAATGTGTTTAATTAGGTCAGAGGTCGATATGCATGTATTTTACGACAAAAATTCCAGACTGTGGGAACACGGCCTCTCCAGCACTATTAATTCACACTAAACCCACTCATTTGTCAGTGTCCTCCACTCATGAAAATATTTAAATGATGACACAAGACAAATCATTGTAATAAAAGTTGACGAAAACTGATAACGACAAAATTTGAGAGATTCGTCCCTTCGTAATATAAATACTTGGCAAAATCAGATACATAAAAGCGTACAAATTTGCATAACAAGGCATACACACGCATTATGTTGTAGGGAGAAGCAGATGAGTAATTGTTCCCGTCCCAAGAAGGACAGAAAACAAATCAATTTGTCAGTCATCCGAGGAACAAGCCGATTTTGGCAGTCTTACTCTGTAACGCTTCACGAATTGACAAATGATGAATGGCTCCGAGATGGGATCCTATTCGTCAAATTGAGCACCAAGTTTTGCCATCCATGCAAGCCGTAAATTGGAGACGTCTGCAAATGCAAACCAGTCAAAACACTGATAACAACGACAAAGTTGCAAATTCTGAGAACTTGGGTCACATTTCAGTGTAGAATCAATTATTCACTTAATACAAATGGGAAGGAGAAGTATGTGAAGGACAAGGGAATGAATTTACTTACTTGCACCCATGCCAAGCTGTTTTTCTTTCTCCGAATTGAATAAAATGGGGAAAGAGAGAAAGTTATTCTGATTCCGTTAACCTCCGCCCCTTCCATTGAGAAACAGGGATTTAAGTGACTGTGAAAAACGCCGTGATCTCGAGAAAGTTACTCCATCCGGAGCAATATCAATTTATCTTTACGTCTATTAGCCCAAGGCGAAACCTTTCCATCTCGGCGTCACTCTAAAAATAGGCTGCTATGCTTTCACTGCGGGGAAATGAGAGGCGAAAGTCGATTTCTGTTGCGTTGCTGGTGGGAAGGACGGCGTGCTGATTTAGATTGATTTGTGTTGGCCTAGTTTAATGTGGGAAAAGGGAAGAGGATGGGATCCTATATTGGGAAGTGAGTGATCCACGTCCACCTGATGTATGGCATGGCTAGCTGGCTGTCCGTGTTGACCAGGGAGAAAAACAGGGTTAGGTCAATCCAATCAACTTTGTCAGTCAATCATTACCTTTTTACTACGTAACTGTTTACTTCGCTTTTTGATCCGATCCTGATTCAATTATTGACTGAATTAGGGGCGAAATTGTGTTTTGTAACTTTCTAAAAATAATTTGAGTCATGTTTTTTATCCGCATTTTTACGTAATACATTCATACGTTTGTATGGACTTTCTACTAATCCTTGATTTTTAAATTTCTAAAAATAATTGTTATTTACACTTTTTATGAATTTGTTTACGAATCCAATTTAATTATCAGCTAAATTAAGAGCGAAATTGTATTGGTCTCCCGAAAACATTGAACTATTTAATTTTATAAATTCCTAAAAAGATTTTGACTCATGTTATCCATGTTTTCATGAAATGATCATCAAATTTGTATGAATTACTTTTACGAATCCAATTCAATTACTGACTAAATTAGGAGGAGCAAAATTGTCCTCCGAGAATGTAGACTTTCGTTGCATTTTTGTCTTAAATAATTTGACTCATAAATGTTATCCACCCACATTTTTTGTCAAATAATCATCACATTCATTCATACATATGAATAAATTCGACGTGACATTTCTTCGAATTGGATCAATTCAACTGCCAATATTTCCGACGAAACAACAACTGCAGTGCGGAGAATGTGGGACAAAGAGGAAAAATACAGCAGCACACAGGATTATTACCTCCATTATCCATCTCCCATTCTCTCAGAACTCACGGCCCACATCAAATCAGTATCTAATCGAAATTCACCCCAGTCAGCGTCCTCACACGACATGTTCAATGTTGAAAGGAGGAGGAGAAAGCAGGGCAAAAGTAAAATATTGGAATTTCCTGCGATACTGGAAATCTGAGAGAGAAATCTAATACATTTTCTCATATGCTCATATGTAATATAAAAAAAGAGAAAGAAATACAAAAAGGCTGGCTCTATGAAAAAATGTTGCTCACACAAATCTGCGAAGAAAGGAAGCGGAAAGGGCGGAAGAAAAATATTTGTTCTGAAAATATCTAAGGTCGTGGTTCTGGTCGTATAGCCATGATTTTAATGCGTCATTTTCCACCCAGGATGAAATCCAGTCTTCTCCTTGCTTGCTTGCTAACACAAATTGATCCAGAATCAATTAAGTGAAAGCTTAAGCTAAGGAAAGTGAAAGTAGTGGTGGTTAGAAAAGTTGGGCAAAATCTGGGGCGGTTCAGTTCACTCAAGTATATGGACAAATATATCCAATCTATCCATCCACTAAAACTTGAATGGTTACTAGAGACCTTGTAAAACATTGTATGCATGCTTTCTTGGGGAATCAGGGAGGTTGCCAATATTTATTTCGGTGACAAATCGGATGCAGGTTTTATATATGCACAAAAAATGTGCAAGTCGATAAGGAATTTATGAAAAAAGATCCGATGAACGAGAAGAATGGGTTGCATCGTGAATAACATTTTTTTGTAAGGATAAATAAATTACATGAAATTTAAAACATCTTCGCTATTCGATGTTCCAATTCATTTTTGAGGAAATTTGTTGTGAAAAAAGCTAATGAAGTAGCAATTTTTTTATTTGATAGTTTTGCACTGCCAAAAATTAACTTTACATTGACGTTTGAAAAGTTACATTTATCTGGAAAATGAAATTGATGGGTATCTATTCACTGTTTAAAAAATATTGTATAAAATATATATTTTTTTAAAACATGCACCCATTTTTTAACTTGGAATGACACAAAACACATGTCATTGGGAACCCTGGTCATATGTACACAAATGTCAATGCTACATAATATGCATCCTACGTCACGACGGTGCCCCACTTTACACGATATTTGTTTTCCATGTACCCTTCGTGCTCTTAATATTGATCCCATTTCAAAGAGATTCCTTGATTTCTAACAAACCTACCATTTTATTTGCAGGGAGCACCCTCGGAGCAGCAACCAACTCGTCAAACCCCACCCCCAGCGTCTTGGAGCGAGTCATCTCCTCCCACACCGGTGGTCACCGTCACAAGTGCTACATCTGCCTCCCCCCGGACAAAAACTCCGCCGAGGCGCTCGACATTTACAAAATGTTCAAGAACAGCGGCGCCAGCGAACGTGACGTTCAGGACTGTACAGGTAAATTTCCATTAAAAGTAGGAAATTTGACACTGACCACAAAAGTGGAGAGATGGTTATCTGATCTTATCATTCCTTCCAGGGTTTTCATCTTCTAAGAACAAGAAGCCGTACGAATTCGACTGCCCGGTCGGGTATCAAGGCTGCGTGCTGAAAACGCATGGTAAGTACAAACTCAGGATTTTTCGAAAATTTTCGAATTTTAACCCGATTTCAAAAATTGAACAACATATTTGCCCAGAATTACTTGTGCGATTCTACGGTTATAAAATCTTTTACAATTTTTATGATATTTCTGAATTTTGAAAAATGCAGAAAAACTCAATTTTGTTTAAGTTACACGTTTTTGAAAAAAATATTTTTGTGAGTGGTAAATTGTTCATTACCACAACATTATTAAACGGTAATGCTCTTTATTACCTTGCCGGTAGTGTCATAAGTATATGTACTCCGGCCAGCATTAAAAAACTTAATATCCGTTTTCTAAAAGTGTAAAAACATTTTGGTAGCAGGAAAAGCAGTCAATTTTATTTATGTCGACTTTAGTAAATAAATTATGTCACTTCTTCCTAATCGTGTAATAAATAGAGAGTGAGACAGTCGTGCAAATTTGGTCGGTTGGTTGAGAAGTATTTCGGCGTGAGAGAAAGTTTTGAGATTGACAGGCGAGTGAGTACATAAAGCTCGGGAGGAAAATTGGAATAGAAAGTACTTGAGAAAATCCAACTCATAAAAATCTACTTGGTTGGTGGTAGACGGATAAGTGAGATGTCATATTTCCTTCCACTCGACTTTATGCAAGGTTGTCACTCACTTCAATTTTTTTCTTGGGAAAGAAGTCTTTTACAGATGAAAAATGCTGAATATCTAGAAATCCAATTCCAATTTTGCACCATTACACAGTATTAAAATTGTCTCCTCTCCAAGGAAAGTTGGACAGCCACTAGGCAGGCACACTGTTAAAAATCTGGTAGAGTCGCATATATACTCGGAACGGGTATTGATTTGGTAATAACTTGTTACCGGATTGGTAGTAGTTTGGTCCTGAGTGGTAAATTCGCGGTAATGCCCATTATTACCAAGGCCGTTAGAGTATATGGACTCCGTACTGGTATTGATTTGGTAATACTTAACTACCTACCGGATTCATAGCACTTGTTTCTGAATGGTAATTTTTGTTATTACCACAACACGGTAATACCCGTTGTTACCAGTGCATACATATTTACTCCGGTCAGTAATGATTTAATCCCAGTTTTCTAAGAGTGCCACCAACACCTATTAGTAAGCGATAGAGGCGCACAAATGAAATATTGCGTCTAACACATGAGAAATTGTCTCACTTTCTCCCCTCCATAAATATTTGAAAAGCTTACAGAGAATTTATTAAGGCGAGGAATAAGAATGCAGTTAATAACTTTGGAAAGTGGGGCAGGGAATAAATTGGGATTATTTTCGGAGAGAAAGTAAGTTGCCCAGTTGTGCACGTGGTTCGCCCGAGGCCACAGTGAATGAAGGAGACACTTTGTCACAGGTATTCCCACGGGAAGGGAGGAGAGATTGGTTCGTCTGTATGTGTAAAGTATGACGTGGCGTGGACAAAATTTGCATCACAATAATAATTGAGGACTCAGCCGTGGGGACATGTGGGGACATTAACATTGTAGGATAGGGGAAGGCGGGGTTTACATAACATGGGCAGATGATGGGGACATCGAACAACCGTGGGGACATTGTCCCTCTGTCCCCTCAGCTTCCGTGGCCACTGCGTATGTAGTTTAGATTAAAAATGCATACCCGGTTTCACATTTCGCATCAATTTACTGTTTACATTTTGTTCTACCCAGTACCCGCAAAAGAACTGTTATAAGAAAAACGCATTGTAGCGAGCCCAGTTTATTGAATTTCGAAAAAATAAGTACATAAGTGAAAAGCCAATGAAATTTCGTATAAGAAACACTATTCACTTTTCAAAATGTCAATCTTTTAAGGCGACACGAGCCAGGAGTCTTGGTATCCACCACTCGATCGGAGTACGCACGCGTTCCAGGGGAGATTGGGCTCATTTCTATACCGTTGAATTTTTTATGGATTCCAAACTTGTGTGGGGTTTAGCACACACATCTAGCTCCAGTTTGGAAAATATTTCATAGTTCAGAAGCCTAAGCTTCTGCGACAGTGAATTTTTTTCTTGATCCGAAATGGAGTCAGGAATTTGGGATTTCAACCACCCAATTACCATCTTGACCACATGAGCAGGACCTGAGCCCTGCTTGAATGTCACTTCGCTCTTTTTTAACAGGTTATGGTTCACGGGTGTCACAATTCACTTGAAAACTGAAAAAAATAATTTTTGATACCAAATTTCACCCCCAGAGTAAGAAAATTCACTTTTTCGACCCAGTCCAACTTATGTCCAATAAAAAAATCGTAAAACCGGAATGGTAAGTACGATGAACATTTTTGAAATTTTTACGAATAGTCTAGACTGGTGGGGTGTAGAAACGGTATTTTTGCTATTTTATTTTGCATCACCCATAAAGTTCGGCTCATTTGTTGAAAATATCCGTTTCCATTTTTCAAACGCGTACCGCATGATCAGCGCCCGGGTTCTGTCGGACCTGTTTTTCCTTGCCGTGTAGTTAGGGAGTATTTCTCCTCATGTCTTGATGGGATAAGTCCAAGGTCCAGTTTATGGGCCCGGGAAATGGTTTTACTTTATCCATTCATTTGCGAGGGAAATTTTCTTAGGGCTCGGCATTGATTTTGGCGAATCCAGTTTTTTCACACCTTGGTGAATTTTGGTGACCTTTTTAGCTGTTCCCTTCCACTCCTTTTGCGGTCGTCGACGCTGCCAGTGTCACTGCATCATTTTATGGTACGGTCGACCATCTTGCAATCAATTCCGATTTTTATTGAACAATTTAAAATTGTCGATTTTTTATGTTCACTAAAATGTTGCTGAAAAATTGAAACAGGCCATGTTCGCTGCTCTATCATTTTGGCACCTTGGGTCACAAAAATTTTTGAAACATGGTTTCTGACGGACAATTGCATGGAGATTTCAATAAAAAATAGTACAACTTTCTACAAATTTGGTTTGCCTGCTTAATTTACCCGGGAAATCTTATAACAGAACTTTAGCGGGTACTAGGTATTAGTAATTGCATGACGTAACATAACGTCGAGGGGAATGACGTACATATTTACGTGGCTGGCATGGCCATTAGAGCGAGTCCACCTCCACACAAAAATTAGAGCGAGTTGAGAGAGCTAGAGGGTCCCTTTTTTGAGTCCAATCTATTCCATCTTGTCCTTCCTTAGTTATATCATTGCATAAGAGAGAGAGAGAAGAGTGAAAGTGACTGGTTTTCACCAGCCCAGCCCACGCAGCCCAAATTCCATCAATTCTTTGTCAAAATCCCATTTGTCTGCGAGACGACGTTTTTAGAACACAATGGGAAAAAAAGTTGATGAAGGAGAAGGAACAGATTTAGATTATCGAGAAGCGAACCTTGGACCAACACCTACTTTCATAGGACGTCGGGGTGTCAATGTCAACTGAAATGCATGGATGGATGACCAGACAATAGGGATCACAAGCAGTGGCCGCGGAAGGGTGGGGACAGAAGGACAATGTCCCCATCATCTATATATAAACCCCTCCATTCCATATCCCACGATGCTAATATCCCCACAGCTTCCGCGGCCACCGATCAAATCACAAGCATCTATTCTCTCCACTAAATTTAGATGACATTTCACCTCTGATTTCATACATAGATATTTCGTCTTTTCTTGTTGGCAATACTTTTTGTTGTCACCAGACATGAATTTCTCTCTGCAAGTACAATGTTTGTTTTCCATCTTGTTGCCATTTCTTTTAGAAATAGAGGAGCACAACGTCTATACGTACGTACGTCACACGGTTCAATTTTTCAGAATTAGATCATACATACAGCCATCCATCCCCCGTAGAGAAGCAGGAGATGATAACCCGTGCCGCATCTGTGTCGCGAAAAGTTAGCCGTGCATATGGAGCGACGAGATGACAGGAGGCTGCATTCTGAGACGTCACACATCTCCTGTCGGTTAAGACAAATTGCATTCGGTTAAAGATCAGTCATTCGTGAGGCGGATCATGCTGAGTTGAGTAATGGTTTAAAAAGAACGAAAAGATGTTCTTCTGCTTTTGGGGAGGACAAAAATATGGGATGGGTTGCATACATGCAAAAATAGATATGTAGGATTATATGTACGGAAATTTGTGGATATAATTTTCCGAGTCGGTAATTTTAATCGTTCCGTGGATTGGATTCTGACAAAGATTTTTTTGCGCTCTTTTGTAACCTCGTGCATATTTATTTCGACCACCAAAAAATATGTTATTTCTTTGTGGCAGTCGTCATATTCCCCCCGCAAAATAAACCGGAATGAAATGTCACGAGACGACCATGTCACAAATATGTACACACATAACACACATAGAAAAGAAAGAGAACATGCAGTGATTTTATGCTCCATACGTATGTAAATATATAAGACGATATACATAACTCGGGCTTTTCTTCCCATGTCAGAATGGTTTTACGACGGCTTTGCCACAAACTACGTGACCCCGACGCCAAAAAGTCTGCCAGTCAGGGTGATGTTGAGGAGAAGAAATTCGTCATCATGATGATCCCGTGGAAAATGAACATCATGGAAAGAATAAAGCTTGGCTTCTTCTTCATATGCATATTTTCACGGTCATGAGAATTAAATTGGCGAATGAGTTTTAAAAAACAGAGTTTCGTTTCTTGCGGGTTTTCTACATTTCTTGCACTGCAAAGTAAGCAGTGCAAGAAATTCGAGGTGCAAGAAACTGGAAGAAAGTGCAGGAAATACGCGTCGTATGAAGTATAGCGGCATGGCGTAGTTTCTTGCGCCTTGCATTTCTTGCAGGTCAAAATGCCTGCAAAAAACCACTTTCTCCCCGTTATTTCTTGCAAGTGGTTACTTGCATCCGAAACACTGCTGAAACTCGAGAAGCCGAAAGTGAGAGCATCTTCCTTCTTTCCACGTATAGCCAAGACATCCCGTAACTTATGCAGGTATATATAACTTGGTATCTATGTAGAATTTTTTCACACGGAAAGTAAACTAGGCCACGAAAAATATATATATATATCTCTTTGAAAGGGATCTCGCTAAACTTCTCCTGGTATGAAATTCCATTATGTAAAAATTTAATTAAACGAGAGAAGAATATAATAGCGTAAAAGTAAGTAAAAGTTATGGAGAAGATTGTCTGTGCAGCATGTGATGTGATGCAGCAGATGGGACCACTCTCTCATACATAAGTGGTCTCCTCTTAATTACGGAAACGTATAAAGTCTGCATAGCAATAATTGGTGTCCTTGTCCCTTATCTGGTCTGACCAAATAATTTGTGTACATCGCAGGTACGAACGTGTCCCGTACGTGTGCCCAATTCCAATTCAACACGTGCAGAGTGGCGAACGCGAAGGAGCTTTGTTTCTGCACGGGTCCCCTCTGCAACGACGAGAAGGCGAATATGATCATTTTCGCAGACTCGGAGGGGTCTCAACAAGCTGCGGCGGCGGGGGTCCCTCCGTCGCCACAACCGTCGACTTCTTCGTCGACGTCGTCGTTGGGAGGAGGAGAGTCCGTCTCGTCGGAGGAAAGGTCTCGCGACACGCTGGCCGAAGAACAGGAGGAGTCAGAGTCTCGAAAGTTCTGGCAAAAGGGCGAGACTGATGATGAAGACTTGCTCGAGATGGCGGACGATACGGGCAGTTCGGGAGGTGGGTGATTTTTTTTGTGGAGAAAGTTAATTTGTGAGGGTCATTAGAACCGTTTCGTTTTGGACTGGAGACTGGGCAAAAGCTTCCAAAACTGTAGAAAAATAATTTTGAATGTCCAAAATGTCAAAAAGCGTCCAACATTGGAAAATGGGGTAAAATGTTACAAGTTGTTTAATAACGACTTTTTTTGCAAATCTATGCACAAATATGTAATCTCTCATTAATTTTGAGCATTTTAGTGGATGTTTAAGATCATGAAATTTCGAAAAACCTTTTTGGTAACATGTTTTATCGTGAGAATTTTTCTAAACCAATTACACACCAAAATGATCAAAATTAAAAGGAGATTACATACATGCACGTCAACGGATAATCCATCAAGATTCAATAATCAAGAACTTGCAACATTTTGCCTCATTTTCTATTTTGGACACTTGGACCTTTCGATAGTCCAAAATTTGGTGTCCAAAACTCGCTAAAATCCGTCTTAGACGGCTGTTTCAGACACTGGTTAAACCCAAGGTGAAACCATAATTAGAACTCCATTTTTTCCTAATTATTGCAGACGGGCCTTATCCCCCCGGAGTGATTGATGCCTACACGACCACGCCAAAACCCACGCTGGTCCCGAACATTCGGGGCGACCGGGTGAAGACGACGCCTCCGCCGACGACGACGGCCGGGGGACCGAGGTCACCTTTCGCGTCATCCTTCCCCCTCCTCCTACTCCTAGGTTCCTATACGTATTACCTCTCCTGCTACCTAGTCAATATGCATCACAGACCTTAACCACATTCATTTCAACTAGTTAACAAACTACTATTCGTAACTAATTATTTTTAATTCACAATTTAGTTTGTACATAAATATATAGCTAGCAACTCGTCGTGTCTTGCAGAATTTCTTTTATCAGTGGCCGCGGAAGCGTGAGGACAGAGGGACAATGTCCCCACGGTTGTTCGATGTCCCCATCATCTCCACATGTTATGTAAACCCCTCCCTCCCCTATCCTACAATGTTAATGTCCCCACCCCTTCCGCGGCCACTGTTTTTTCTCATACATTCGATCGGAACGTGGAAAGCCAAAGATAGATATTCACAACAAAATGTGATGATGGGTGGGTGACGGAGTGAAGTTATTATTCAGCCAAATAGTCAAGTATGTACTACAAAATACTAGAGAGAGCGAAAAAGTCGAAGATTTCTTATTATTAATTACTGGTTAGTAAAGGTAAATTATCGCTAATTGAATGCTTGGCATTTATAATTAATTAATTACCTAAGTGAAGCTATCACTAACTAAAATTGTGATGGTGTACTCAGGCGAGGCGACGTACGTACAGATACCTAAGCTTAATTCAGTAATATGTAAGTGACACCAATTCAATCAGTAAATGGAGGTAAATCACATTAAATTAGATAGATCAATTAACTGATATTTACATAAATATGTATGTGGCGTGGGTAGCTGCACTAAATACTGATCTGACTAGATTTTTTCAATTCAGAAAAAAATCCTGTGTGGCAGCTAATTAATTAAATGCATTCGTCATTCGTGTGAGTGATTGATGTATTTATCGTCAATTTTAAGGATACAATATACAATTAGACACGAAAGAAATCATTTATTGCCTCTGAAAAATTTTCATGGAGAAATGTCACTTTGCATAAATACCATAAGTTATATGAATAGTTTGGTCGATACATAAATTATGGTAGAAACAGAGCTTATTTATTAATGACTATGTACCATCACGCGGAAGGAAAATTAATTAGTAAATTAAATTAATTAGCGGATTATTAATTACTTGACGATTCTGAATAATTTTATTGATTTTCTGTGGTCTCATAAATAGTTATTTACCTTATTTACATATTTACCTCCTACTTACATAAGTTCGTATTATGTATGATTTACTCACGATTACCTACATAAATATTCTAAAACCAAACCAGTCAAGCAGAAGAGGAATTGATTGATTGACTAACTATTTAAGATAATTGAGGATAATAAGTATATAATTATTAAGTATATAAAATCAATCAATCACAATTAAGAAATCAATTAAGATTGACGTCTGTGACATGAAAATTACAAACCATTCCAGATTACACATTTCGTTTTTCATGACAAAGTGAGAGAGAAGAAGAAGAAGAAAGAAAATAAATAATTTTACCTTCACGGATGATTTTGTGGCTTTATTTTTCATACATCGTGCATATTTTTGCTGCACAATTGCACAATCTGCACGATGCACTGGGGGTGTTCACGTCGAGGACCAAGCAGTAAAACAAAGTTGGCGAAAATATTGGCAAAAATTTGCTTGAAAAATGATTTTCGAATTTGTGCATCCAATAAATCTCAGGGTTTAGTTCGCAAGAAATATGCACAGTTAAACAAATGCTTGTAAAATAGGTTACAAAATGGTTTTCGAACTTGTGCAATTGCCAAAAAATTTTGCAAAGGTGAACAAGTCTGTTATGACCTTAACATGCAAATTTGTGATGAATACCCCAACGAGAAAATACTCATGCTTCCCAATTGAAATATGATTAAGGATGCAGGAAATTATTATTATTTCAATCCACACGATAAACCAGAATTTATGTATGCAGCGGATGGGAAAGTGCAGCTGTCAGGTTGCAAATATGCTATTCCCCAGAGTGGTTTGGATGGACGGACAACCAATTCTTGTTTATTCCAGAATTCATTTAACTGCACAAGACATGCCATGCTGCACACTTACATGTGTACGTAATCCCATTTTATGTACGGCAAGCATTACAATTTGCATAAAACCATTCCCACTAGAGAATGGTTTACATGCATCTAGCATAATTTTTTCTAGTGGCAATAATCAATTGGATAGGCCTTTACTGCGGGAGAAGTCTAATGTCAACTCGAGTTACAGTGGCCGCGGAAGCCGTGGGGACGGAGGGACAATGTCCCCACGGTTATTCATCATCTCCCCGTGTTATATAAACTCCTCCCTCCCATATCCCACAATGTTAATGTCCCCAGATGTCCCCACGGCTTCCGCGGCCACTGCGCCCCAAGTAAGTAAAAGGGTGAAATCACCCACAAACATTGTTCAAACTCTGATGGACTATAAATTCCGAGAGTAAAGTAAAGAAGTGACTGGCTGGAAGTAGCAGATGCACAAGTCTGACTGGACTGGAATGGAATTCATTCACGGCCCGTGTACAATACATCAGTCGGATGCAGGCACAACTCGGTTTTATTCCATTCTTCGTCTTTTGTGGGTCGAATAGAATGGCGACATTTCCACCGACCTGAAACCTGACTGTGATGGTTGGGACAATTCTGTTAGTCTGAAAATGAAGATATCTCTGCCAGAAAGGATGACCACGTGTTTTTTGTCATGTCGGATTTTCTGGTTAAGAAGTTTTACAAAATATTTGCGATTATGACAGATTAAAAATTAAAATGTGAATTGGCACATTAATTTTAGGCTTTACAAATTAAAAATGTTAATTTCAGAAGTTTTAAGCCGAAAAAATATTTTGTGTGTAAAATATATTCGTTCCTTTTAAACAAATTTTTAACTCGTTTCCTAAAAATATTTCGTTTTGTATCCTAACTTTCTCCTCTTCGGAGTAATGATTGCCACACAGCGGTGAAGTGAAAGTCGGGCTGAGTAGTGAGGCATATAGCGTTATTCCGTATTTGCCCGTGCAGCACAGATCTGACACAATGGATGAAACTTTTTTTGGTTAGTCATGCGAATGCGACACGTGCCTTGTAATGATTGTCGTTTTCTGGGTGGCGTCCTACCCGTATCGTTGATGGATGGTGGTCATCATCTGCTTTCACTTTTGTGATTTGTCTCCTCTTTCTCATCACCATTATCTCGGAGGAGGAGGGCGACGAGACATATGAGATCTGACTTTTTGGCCTGCTCGTAATGATGAGCAAATATTTTGTAGCGTCTTAACTCCAAAAACAAAATAAATATGTGGTTCGAATCAAACCGTAAAATTATCAGATATGTCGACTGTGTGAGCGGTTAGTCGGTTTGTTCGGAAAAAAGTTGTGAATGATATTGCGATTGTGATACTAATGCCATTATGCAAATTTTGGAGTAACCATTTCTACGGTATTTCGGGAGACGATATGTAACCTGATTTTTTTCGTGTTGTAATGATCTTCGTCCAGTGTTTTGTAGCCAACAGATTACACAATTGTATCAAATTTTATACAAATTTTACAGTAACCATTTCTACTGCATTTCGGTGGACGATGCCAGCTCTGATTTTTCTGTTGTTTCTTCATACAATCTTTTGTAGCGTTTCAATTCGAAAAATATCAGATTATACACACGTATGTATAATTGTAGTCTGAAAAATATTGCGAATTATTCCTCCCCTTCAATTGTGATACTAATACAATTATGCAAATTTTGCTGTAACCATTTCTACCACTGCGTCTTTATTTCCTGTACGTATGTATAAAACGATGCCTGCATTTGATCAGATTTACACAATGGATGAAATGCGAATACATAAGAGCAGAATTGGGAGGCTGCCTCGACTCTACAAACTTCTGATCATATCGTTCCCCCCGTTGTTACAAAATACAATGGAGAGCGTCATCAGCAGTGACCGCGGAAGCCGTGGGGACATTAACATTGTGGGATAGGGGAGGGAGGGGTTTATTTAACATGGGCAGATGATGGGGACATCGAATAACCGTGGAGACATTGTCCCTCTGTCCGCGGCCACTGAGGACCAGTGCAATGCAGCCAAAAGTTGGTGTCTCTCTCTCCTGTCATCATTATTATTTGGAGATGATGCGGAATATTGCACTCAAGATAAACTAAATTATTTTCCTCGTAACACAACACACACAAATAGGTCATATTTCCAGGAAGGGACGACGACCGACGTTATCTGGGCTTGCGGGCGAAAACTTGTGCTTATGCTACATTTCCACCAACGGTTTCGGGTACCCAGGCAATTTCTGAGAATGACGTTTCGTACCTAAATTTGTTCCTCTGTCATGTCATGTGAGTGGAGTGATGTTGATTGAAATGAAGGCAATTTTCGGTTTCGCATTCAATAAATAAATACTTATTTTATTGAATTTCAACACATTTCAGGTTTCATTATTCTGCCCTGAAATTTTGCAAGCATGGATAGAATTTCGTTATGTGCGTACTTAAAAAGTTTCCTAAATTTTTAAAAAATGAAATGAACTAATAGAAAATAACTTCTTGTTAGTGAATGACGCCACTGTATCATTTTTACAGAATTTCGTAATAAATTGATTAATCAGATTCTTTTTTGTTGTGCGTCGTAATTCGTAAGCATTTTTGAAACCGAAGATTTGTTAAAAATTATGTGGAGTGACGTTGCATGAAGGGAATTTTCGGTTGTTGGTAAGGTTGCAAATCCTTGTAAGGTTGCGAATCAAAATTGTTTTGTTAGTAAACGACGCCACTGTAGCATTTTTAACAGAATTTTGTAGCACAATCATTAGTGTATGTGAGATTTCGTAAAAAATTATCTCAATTAAAAAGTTTATAAAAATATTAGAAAATTTTGATTTGCCAAAAAATAAATACAAAAACGTAATAATAATTTCTTCAATTTTATTTCTTTTTTCATAAACTTTTTTATCAATAAACTAATAAAAAATAACTTGTTAGTGAACGACGCCACTGTAGCATTTTTATAGAGTTTAAGAATGAATTAATTAAGCAGAGTATCTGCTTAACGACTTTAATCACAGTCACTTTTTAAATTACTTGAAATTTCTTAAATATTATCTCACAAAAAATTATTGAACGATTTTAAAGAACTTCACAATAAATTAACTAATCAGATATTTCAGTTAAGTGTTCACAAACATTTTTGAAACAACTCGAAATTTCATAAAAATGACCTGAAAAAGATAAGGCGCATGACAATAGATGTCAATTTGGATTAGCTAAAACAATAAAAATGAAAATCGTGTCCAGAAACGACTCATAATTTATTAAATTTTCTTTCCTTTTTCATAAACTTTTCTCACTTCATCTCCAACGAGGACACTCGGCCTTCTTCGTGTTACCAACAATTTAAAACGGGATACATTAATTATCGCTAAATGACATTGAACATGCTTGTAAATAAGTCGCGTTTTGTGACATGTATGTCACAGTCACATGACACCATCGCATGATGACTGACATCGCATCAAACAAATGAATGTTCTTATTTTTTTACGTTGTAAAATAAAATAGTAAAGTTTACATGGGTTCAATTTGCACAATAATTTTTTCCATTGTCTGGTGACGTCATCCTCGTCCAAGTTGATGAACCGAATTAATCTGGAAACAATATCAGAAACAAAAAAATACATTTTGTCCCTATATGTGTTTAAAAATTGAGATTTTGAGCCCCGATTTTGCCCACAGGACATTGTAATCTCGTTCGTAATTACTTTAATGAGACTTTAGCTTGTCAAAAATCTTATCGCAGGCAAGCAAACGAGCACTCGGCGGCTTTAAAGTTATGAATTAACTTGGTTTTAGGTCGGATTTTACCCGTGCTAAAGGAGTCATTGGTCCAGCACTACATTCATTTTTCCCACAGTGCCAATTAGTACGGAAAAGTTCATATCTCGCATTTAATTGTGTGTTGTGTTCACATAAATATGTAAAAAACCGGTTCCAGTTTTACAATAAGAAGGACTTTATTAGATACAAAGTCTTGCCAGAATCTCATTTTGGGCTGCATTCAGAATTACTGCGACGCCATGGGTCGCATTTGCATGGGTTTATGGGTCGCATTTGCACCTAATTTATGCCCACTTATTTTCTTACCATGTATGTACGTATGCAAAGCGAGAAGCTATTGTACTCCTGTTTGAGACACTGTGTCTCCGTTACTGCCCATATTTTGGGGTTATGGTTGGTATGAAGTTATTACGTAACGCGAGATTTTGGCAAAGATACATAATTGCAAGTCTAGCCACATACTTATCTTTATCTAGGCTGCAATTGTATAAGAGTGCAATTATGCGATATCGATGAAGGGTTTTTATTACGATGAGCGGCCAGACCAGACCACCGACCGCGATGATTATCATGGAATAAGTAATTGAATTCTACTTAAGTACTTAGAGTGGAGGTCTCCCAGCGTATGCTATAAGATTTTGAGCAAACTAGTGTCAATTGGTGGC